GCTTTCTGTCCGTGTGCTTCGGATGTGTGCGCTCAGAAAACCATATATCAGAAGTTTAAACTCATATGGTTTAACGATAAACATGATAATCAGAACCAAAACAGATGTTTTTTTTTTACCAGGTATGAGCTGTAATGGCCCAGCTCTATTCTGGCAAAGGGGGCGGGGAGCAGCAGCTCATTTGCATTTAAAGATACAGGTATGTCTCATTTAATATCCTTTCTATTGAAACGTGTATGCCATGTATTTAAATGTATGCCACAAATGTGACAAATTGACACGTTTCAAAATTTGTGTGATTCCAACTGCTCTTATGCATGTGCTTGATGACTTCAGTTCAAAGTATAAGGTAAAAAGTCACACTAACTGCTCCAGACGAGATCTTCTGGGTGACAGGAGGGCGGCCTGTTTCATTCTGACTAACAGCTGTAGCAGTCCAACGGTTTTTGCACGAGGTGGCTTGGATGACAGTTCAAGAGTGTGTTTTGAGGTTACCGTCTCACACAAGCGAACTCGTTCGCTTTAGATCTGACTAAACCGTGCCTCACCCATTACTAAAGAAACGATCTCTGGATTCTGCCGGCCTCCAAAAGCTCTCTAAACATGTCGTATTAAATAAAACGCCAAACATCAGAGCGTTCACAGCGCTCACATGCATCACCTCCGAGGAAAAAGTTCAAGAGGTCATTTTTTTCCAGTTGACGTTGTTTATGATGGTGAAACGTGCTCAGGCCAAGCTGGAGGCTTTCAGTGAGTGGCTCCAGCAACAAACATCAGCAAATCCCATCAAACCCGACCCAGCCCGATCCCCCAGGGGCCCTGAGGCTTGGGAAAAGGACGGCCGCTGCGGAGCCCTCGCGCCCTCGTACCCTTGTGGCCTTGTGTCCCGTTTGGGGAGGTGTCAAGCGATAGTTGGTGCCACTGCTGGATCCATCCCAACACACACATGCATGTACAGATGGTGCATGTCGACGCTTTTTCTGGCATTTTGAAAAGCAGGGAGGCTGATGTCAAACACTGGGAGGAATGTTCTCATTCTGAATAAACATTTAAAAAAAAATGTCCTGGACAAAAAAATCCAGAGCATGCAGTCACCTCCTCCATCCAACGTCACACACACAAATAAAAACACACACACACGCACACACACTCACACATGCACTGAGTGTGGCAGAGAAAACATTGTTCTCTGGGGGACGACGGGGACATTGACCCCCAAAGAGATGCTTTTACCAGATGCCTTGCAGTTTCCTCCTCCTCAAATCTGAAGTGTGTGTTTGCGCACATGCACGTTTCACAGTCACACACACACACACACACACACAGATCTGTTTTACGCCAAACTGGCCTCAACTTCACATTGTGTCAAGAGTGTATTGACCTCATTCTGAGTCATGTGTTTTTTCTTTACTCTACAATCAACTGCTCGCAACCCGTTATAAGACATTTAAGAGTGAAACTTTTTTTTTTATTACAAACATTTTGTTTTAATGAGATAAAGTGTTGCATGGAATGATTTTAGCGAACTGATTGGACAGTGAAAAGTGTGCATTACATACCAGGACGAAGGGGAGGGGTTAAAAAAGTAAGAGGGATGTGTGATGTCAGCCGAAAAGGAAAGTAATTTAATTTTCATTTTAATTTTAGTATTTAATTTTCATTTTAAGCAAAGCAACTAAATAATACATATAATTATTATATAATTACATATAATTATATAGAAATTATATGAACCTATGAATTGTGCAGAACAGAATTAGATAAAATAAAAAAAAGTTCCAAAACGCGATAAACGCCATTTTTTTAAAAATTGAGTTCCGCCAAAATCAGTATTGTATCTGGTCGGTATTGAAAGGTCCATTTTTAATTTTACGCAAAATGCGATATCCGCCGAGTTATTCTGTCATGTTTTCTCCCTTTTTTTCCAAACCGCGACAAACGCCAGTCTCCTTCTCTGCAGAATGCGATATATCCGCTCAACCAATCACAGCGCACCATTCCACGCACTCTAGACAGTAATGGCGGCGCTTTGAACACCCGGCATCATAGTTTTCTTCATCTACTTTGTACTTTGTGATCAACAAACAAACAAAGAAATTAGGGCTGCACGATAAATCGCATGTGATTGTCATGAGCATCTCGTCAGTAAAGCCGGTTCTGTGATTTATAGTAAATCTCCATCATGTGCTTTTAGATGGATCAGCATTTATTACACAGAGCCGTAGATCACTGCAATATCGTGTTCATAATCGCAGATGAGTCGCATTCGATTATGAACGCGATATTGCGTAGCATGCCAGTGTAAGTGTTTTTATTAATACCATTAATGTTTTTGTTAATACAGCATATAGCACTAGTCAACTAAATGAATGTTGGGAGCGATGATTGATTTAATGTATTTTTAGTCCAGTGCCTGTATATAAGGTTAGTATTGACCAAGTTCAGAGGCTGTCATATGTGGATCAACTTACGCTAAATGACTAAATGTAAAAGTAAATACATAAATTATATATACATTTACCATGTTTATAATATAAACAAAATATAAAGGAAATATATTAATGTTTACTTAAAAATGTGTATGTTTATAATCTAAGAAAGGTAATATTTGATGATAATAATAATAATAATAATAATAATAATAATGTGTTTTTATTTTTATTTAAATTTAATTTTACAAATATTTATGATAAACAAATGGATTTGTAATAATAATAATAATAATAATAATAATAATAATAATAATTGCCCTACACCAACCCTACCCCTAAACCTACCCCTCACAGGAAACTTTCTGCATTTTTAGATTTTCAAAAAACTTCATTCTGTATGATTTATAAGCTTTTGTACCCGTGGGGACCACAATTTAGGTCCCATGAGTCCCCATGAGTCTGTGTGTAGCCAAGTTTAAGTCCCCACCAGGATATATAAACCAGTACACAGACACACACACGCACACACTCACACACACACAGACAGAGCATCTTCTGTCTTACCGCTGGGGCTGAGCTCTGCTCCGTTGGGCACCTCCTGCAGGGTGATATGCTGGCCGTACTGGGGTCTGGGTGGAGCTGGGGTTTGTGGGTGACACACAGCAGGAAGCTGCATATGAGGAACCACAGTCACTGCCATCCCACCACTCGACCTCTACAGAAACACACACACAACACAAACTACTGAAGCTAGAGCTGGGATGCTGCTGTTACTTGGGAAAGCCACAGAGATGATTGGATGATTTGCAGTGCACTGTAAACGCAGAATAGTGATATAAATTTATATCTAAACCCTTTTTGTGTCAAAGGTCTTTTGTCTTTCAAGGGGTTTCATTCATGACCGCTTACCAAAGATGTTTTCATATGAAATTCCCTGTGTGGCCCGAGGCAGCTCGAGTTTCTGTTGAAGCAAAGCGCTTGAGAAACAATTTTATTCTTTTGATCTCGGTGGGACTCTGACGTCAGGCCAGGAGAAGGGGAAGTCAGACAGTCAAAAAGAAAAAAAGAAAGAAAATGAGAGAGACACTAGCAGAGAACTTTGCTGAGTCAACTGGTTCCTTAACAGGGTCATAACCATTTTTTTTTCTTTTTTCTTGAAGATCTCTTATAATGTTAGTAAAGGCTAGCACCAAAATAGTCATATTCTAGTTTTTCACAGAACTTGAACTTTTTTTATTTTATTTTTTAATTTATTTTATTATTTAATTTGTGTCAGCTCTGTCTTTGGGATATGCAAAAAAAACAAAACAAAAAAAAAAACAAATCAAACTTTTTGTTTGTTTTGCTAGTATGTCAGGCTCTTTTGTCTCAGAGAAAAGATACATTTCATAACTTAAGACCTTAAGAACTATGCTCAAAACAAAACAAATGGATGATTATTTATAGGGTACAGTGTTTACATTAAAATATCAATCAGTATTGTGGAATCAGAGGTCATAGGTCGAATATGTTTTGCAGAAAGAAAACTGATCCAGGATCAACTCTGACCTTTTAATACCCTCAAAAATAAGATCCGGTAAACACACAGAAGCATTAGCCACTCAATCTCCCAAATCCTTCTCTGAGATCTGCGTCTAAGAGGCCAACAGATCCACAAACAGTTCTTCATCTGCGGGATGTTTTCAGAGAACAGCTTCTGAGGCTCATTCTGAGGGAAAATACCTCTTACAAAACAATTTGTGACAGATAAAGGTCCATTGAATAGCATTTGGCCAAAAGCACATGCCATCACATGTAATTGTGTAGAAGATGTGTGCATACAGTAAATAGGCATTGTCCTCGGCTTGTTGACAGTCTCGGTTAACTTCTTGAAAAGAATGTTTAAGATTGATGAAACAATGCTGTTTTTGTGACCAGAGCGTAAAGGGCCTTCAGTTTGGAGGAGATTGTTGTGCACTCTTGTTTTAGAAACCTGATATGAAATCTCCAGCTGCACGCTTGACTCAAAAATCATGTCCCATTTTCAATGGGGTTTTGATTGATGTCGTGATGTTCACTGCTGGGTGCAGGAACAGGTTAACTGGTATCAGCATATCTAAAGCATCTCTGTGGTGAATAAATCAGCATTAATGCAGGGCGAGCGCATGCGTCTGCTCTAGATTATCTGAAATGTTATCTGTCTGCAAAAAAAGAGAGCTTCTTTCCATTTCGAAAAAGCTGCAAGCTTTCTTTGATATGACTTATCAAGACTAAAGTGTTGAGCATGGCTGGTTGTGGTGCAAATAATAATTTGACGTGTGGCTGCCGCAGGTGGCACGGCTGGAGTTCATTTAGAGCAGCTCTCGTGCTTTTCGAAGATAATGTAACTGTAAAGTTAAAGTGACAACGTGAGTCCAGCCATTTTTTTTCAGGCAAAACAAAAAGCTCATGTTTTACTAACATACATTATGTTATAGCATAACAAACATTATAACTTACACATAATACGTAAATCCAAAATCTACACTTTCTAATTTCCATATGGTAAAATATTTGAAGCTGTACTCAAAACAGAGATTATTTGAGTATGTTTTGCAATACTATTTTACACTTTCTACTTCAAAATGGTATATTTAATTCAATGTGTTACTTGTCGTTTTGTTGTAATTATTTGTGAAATTTAATGTCCGAGTGAAAATTGTTTCTAATTGAATCCCACACCAAATTTAGTGCATGCACAATAATTGGACACTGGAGTTTTAAAAGCTTCAAAATGACACAAAAGCAACATAACCAGTGTTGTGAACTGAATCAACAAATTCAAACAAACAAACAAATAAGTAAATAAATAAACAAACAAACAAATAAATAAATAAATAAATAAACAAATAAATAAATAAATAGTTTTGGAATATTTGTTTATAATATATTATATTGTATTATATATTTTATAAACACACCTACATTACATGTTATGTAAAAATATTTTATTTGAAAAGTAACTATGTAAATTACAGTTTCAGTATTTACTGCCTTACATTGACATGACAAAAAAGCTCTAAAATCACATAAGATATAACGTTACACAAACAAAGTTAACACATATGGTTAAGATCTTGTGGCTATATTATTTGAACAGTGAGTGTTTTAATGCTTACAAAGTGCCCCATTAGTGTTAAAAGCTTCAAAATGACACAACAGCACCTTTAAAGTATCACAAAAAATAATAAAAATAGTATATATGACTTGTTGCACTATATTGCAAATCTTCTAAAGCCAACAATCCAAAATTCAAGACATAACCGTTAATAATCTCGTGCTTTTAAACGCAGTGACTGGATCATTAATTGAGTTGAACTCAACTGTTAATGTATCATTTCGACTAAAAGAAAACTTCAAAGAGTGATTTGTTCAGCTACTTTTCATTAACTATGTCAAAATTTTCCATGAATAACCACAAAGATTTCAATCAGTTCCTCGCACAAAACGAACAAATGGCTCAGAGGATTTGGACTATAGTGCACAAGTCATATGCACCACTTTTGTGATGCTTTTTTGGTCATTTTGGAGCTTGACAGACGCAGTTCACATTCACTTCAAATAAGTCTAGTTCATAGTACATTTTCACGTGAACTATTCCTAAACCTGCACATATAAGAGACACTCTGTATTTAACACTGTGCCCCTGCAGGCTCAAAGAAAGAGAAAGTGTGTCCACTATTATATTCCCTAAGTGTGAACAGACCGGTTGTGAACTGAGTTTGCTGTGGCGACAGAAGCCGCTTTATCTGAGCTACTGTCTGTCTCCAGGGCTGTTCTTCATGAAGGGAGGCGTCCGCAACCTGACCGACTGCCCATCTGATAAACCTGCTGCTGAGTTAAGACTGTGGTTATCAGCCGAGACCTGGAAGCAGCTTTACAGAGCTGAGCTCATTGGAGGATCGTGCTTAGGCTGTCTGAACGTCCCTCGCTGGAGTCATGGGGAGCGGAGACGAGAAGTCGAGAGCAGAGAGAGATTTAGATGATGGCTGAGGGAGAGACGGAGGAAGTAGGGAGGACGGCTAGGATTTATGGGGTACAGGAGGGTCCTGTCCCGTAAAAAAGGGCAATGCCACCCCTGAACCCACTGACATGGTTAAATCAGGGAGCTGGGATATCTGATGATGAGTGGGAAATTAGTGGTACAACATCAGGATGCACAAAGAGAATTGAATGATTCCGGATCAGATTTCTCATAATGATTCAGACTGCTTAACAGTTCCATTACCTCTGCTTTGAAAACGTTTAAAGCATAAATACCAAGAAAAAAAAGAAGAGATATGCAACTTCATTGCCAAATGCATAATTAATTATTGTAAAAATTGTTAACTAAGTTGCTTTGAAAGCATGCATCTGCCAAATGCATGAAATGTACTGAAACAAACAAAAACATGGTAATATTTCATTTGTTTAATTTTTATAAAATAATGTTGATAATGCATAGACAAATTGTAATAAGAATTAGCTCATAAAAGTCATTCATTCGCAAATTGGATGAGACTGGTTGCGTTGTATGTGTTTTGATTTATTTAAAGAAACTGACTCTAAATTATCATTTGTTTGGTAACTAGACTACCTGGTTGCATTTTGTTTTTAGATTCACTAAGAAGAATGGACATATAAACGTCATTCATTCTGTAATCACTACATTGGTTACAAGTGGATTTTTATAGAATGCTCTTATGTAACCCTTTAAGAAAAATGAAGCGTGTCCTGTCAACAGATACTTAAGCAGAAACAATAACACCAGGCAATCTTGTTCTTTTAGTCTGTAGTGCTAATGACACAGACAATATCTGCCTGTCTTCCTCAGTTCACTCGTCTTCGTGAGCGAGCGAGGGGTGGAGGGGATGTTCAGGGGAGAGATGAGATCAGAGAATGCCTTTTCTTCTTCAGCGCATGCAAATGAATGAACCGGGAGGGAAGCCCCCTCCGCATAGCCTTTGACCGTAGTGGGAGACAAGCGTCTCGATTTCAAAAGCCACGAGGCCACCTGAGCAGATTAGCAGAACGGTGAGCCCTGCATGAGGAGGCCGGGTCGGGTGCGGATCAGCATGCGACCCTTTCCGGCTCAGACACTAACAGCCCTGTCTGTGCATACTGATGCTTGATGTCCTGTCTGAATCTTTATTAGACACCTTTGATTCTGCACTCACCTGTGCAGAATCCCAATGTGCCCCGGCCGACTCCTCGCCAGGACTGTAAAACCTTCCCTTTTTACAAGCGCCCAACAAACTACCTTAACCCCTCTGACCTCTAGATGGGGTGGATGGGGGTTAAAAGGAGGTAAATGTTTTTCCCTTTAAGCATTCCCATGCTAATTCTTCCCCACCCTTTGTATTGTGCATTTATTTAAATTGGTTTGAGAAAAACCTGTAGCTCTCGAGTGTGCAAACAGCGTTCTGCATTCAGGGGCAGATCTGGTGTCACCCGTGGGTTCACATCCATTTAATGCCACTGAAATCACATTGATATTCACCTTTGCATCTGCTCAGATAATAGCAAATGTGTATGAAACACCTGGATGCAAGAAACCTGAGGTGACAGAGCTGGAATATTATGCATTAACAATTCATAAAATAAAGCATATGTTTTGATTGAACTGAAACTGAAGATTTACAGGGACATTATTATATATACAATATATTTAATTTTTATTTAAAGGCATAGTTCACGCAAAAATGAAAATGATGTCATTCTGAAAATTGTGGGTAACCAAACAGTTGCTGGTAGCCATTGACTTGCATGGAAAAAATAAATAAAAATCTATGGAAGTCAATGGCTACCGGCAACTGTTTGGTTACCCACAATCTTCAAAATATTTTATTTTGTGTTCTGCCGGAGAAAGAAACTCATATAGGTTTGAAACAACATGAGGGTGAGTTAATGATGACAATATGTTCATTTTTGGGTAAACTATCACTTTAACATACATTGTATATAATTACTTAAGGCTTTAATAATAAAAGTTAAGCTAAATCAACAGCAATTGTGGCATAATTTTGATTGCAATAATAATAATAATAATAAATGAATAAATTAATATTACAATGAGGCACTGGGCCAGTTTTATGAAGGATTTATTTTATGCTTATAATCTATAATTTTTCAACAAATACATACACTACCTTTTCTCATAAAACTTTGTTTATTATGTTAGCTGTATTTAAATTATTAGCTGTATATAAACTACTTAAATGATCATTTTTACAGTTGCTTTATGGTTTCAGTGGTTACATCATTACGTTTTAATGCCAACAAAGTAAAATGCTGCACAACAAAGTTAGATCTTGTGGCTATAATACCGAAACTGTGAGTATCTTAATGCTTACGGACTGGCTTCATTCATTTCTATTATAAGTTCCTCACTGTAACCCAGATTTCTGCTTTTTTGAAGAAAACTTTGAGTTGATATTTCTGGCAGATGCTTTTATCCGAAGCAACTTACAATGCATTTAAGGTACACTTTTTATCAGTCTTTTGTCCCAAAAGAAGGGACAAGTGGAAATACATTTTTTATTAATCAACATCATGCCACAAATGCTGTTAACTGAGCTTAAAACTCAGAAAAGTGGAAGCGAATGTCATGCCAGCAGATTCTGGGGTTGTGTTTGCTGTAATAACCATGAGTGTGTGTTCACTTGTTTCTTACTCATGGCTAGTGGGCAGCTCAGGCCAAACAGAGGTGATTTATAGTGGAGGGTGGGGGTCTTACCATTACTCCCAGACAGTCAGGCAGTTGAAGAGCTTGGCAGGAGGAAACTGGATCCAAGTAGTAACTCATTCTACGAGCCGGAGCTGCTGTGATTGAGGCCTGCAGACAAGACACACACACACGAGAGGTGAGGACCTCAATCAACCTCACACTGTTTATCCCAGAGACGAGCTCCACCAACCTGGATTAGAAATAACCTGCCACTCAAAGCTAAAGATGACATGAGGTGAGCCAAACACAGCCGAAGGGCGGGAACCGATGGTGAAGCGATAGAGCCTTCTTCTATTGCAATGTTATGTTGCTTAAGTGTGTCTTAATCAACCGGACTGGGTGGTGATCAGATAAATCAAAGCAGAGTCATCGTACGTTTTTAAATTTGCATGACTTTAAAAGAAAAGACTTTGACTGTGTCATTGTTTACTTCAAGCATAATCTATTAAAAATAGTGGTCAGTTGATACGGCTTCTTCTGTGGTACTGATAACGAGACAGCAAGAGAAGTAAACACTTTATTGCCAAAAAAAATTACACATAATTACACATACACAATATATATATATATATATATATATATATAATTGCCAACAAGGTTTGGTTATCAGCCAATAATATTTAAAAATACAATCAATCAATAAAAACCATATATGGAATTATAATTGGTTTACTCAATACAATCCAATTAATCATTATTAAATAGTTGCAAAAATACTAACCTAAGAATATTACACTGATCAAATACAGAGCAATAAAGTTTGATCTGTTCAGACACAGCCCAGAGTCTGGCGTCTGTCTCTTACTCCTCCTTTTCTACCCTCCCCTCTCATTCTGTCAGTGTCTCCTTACTGCCATCCCTTTATCATTGTTTATTAGAGCAGGCATTAGAGAGAGAGAGCTGGAGCCCAGCTGTGAGGATTCTGTTTCTGGAGCGACTTCATGATGAGCACATGGACAAGCTGGCCAACAACTGAGGATTCACCTAAAACAGCAGTGTGTGTGTGTGTGTGTGTGTGTGTGTGTGTGTAAGACAGAGAGAGTGAACATCTTGAAGTGCTTAGAGAGTGTGGCAACTGATGTCCCTCTGAGTCAAAGGTTGAGGTGAATGTCACAGATGGATCTTCCAGAGGTTATCACAACACTCTCTTATTCAGCACAATGCATGCCACTATCTATTCCAAATAGCAAGAACACAATTCAACTAATAGATAATAATAATACTACAACTACTTTTCTGTTTGTACAAACTATATAAATTAGTCTTTGTATATCAATTTCATGTAGTTATATATACAATGCAGAATGCAAAACTGGAAACATTTTTAAAGTTTTTCTTTCTTCAAACAGTTAAAAAAAAGAAAAAAGAAAAACAAAGATGGATTTAAAAGTCATATCTGAAGCGATAAAGTTGCAAAACATTCCAAAATCAGCTCGTCATAAAAAGATCGATCGTTCCCCGTCACTGTTACCAGTCGTCACACTGAGAGCTCTCTGTTGAATAACGGCGCGATTCTTCCTGATCCGCAGAGCGTTGAGAGCGTTGAGAGCGCAGCTGCGGCGCGGGCGGTTAACGCGCTCTCGGACTGAACCACACAAGCGCTCTCCACTACAGCTAACCGACAGAGGATAGAAACAAACTTTGTTCTTACCGTGATTAGCTGGAGTAGCTGAAGGCTGTTGGCGGGCTGGCTGTCAGCTGGTGTTTGTACCTGGCTCGTCTTTGGAGAGGAAGGATAAAGCGCACTTGCTGGAGTCCCACCCTCCCCAATCACTGCGCTCCTCCAAAACCAGCCCGCTCTCTCCACATCTAACAAGTGTCCGGCCATCCAGACGGGAACAGTGTGCATGAGAATAGTGACTGCTCTTTTTTTTTCCTTCTCCCCCACTTTATTTTCTTCTTTTTCTTTTCTTTTCTTTTCTTTTCTTTTCTTTTCTTTAAATCAAATTATGGTTTAAATATGACAGACAACTCATATTCAGATATAATTAATTACATTAATGAACGTTTAAAGTGATGTTTGAATTAATTACAGAAAATAATCTCCAAGATGATGATGAATGATGATGATGATGATGTGTGTGTGTGTGTGTGTGTGTACCTGTTTTTCTATTCTGGTGGGGACTTAAACCTGAATACACACAGACTCATGGGGACTCATGTCACGGTGGGGACCTAAATTGAGGTCCCCACGGGTA